GGTGGAGGAGAAGACACTGCTGGTCATCCATGCACTACAGTTTGCCTCATATTTGGTTGGTAAATTTTTGATGTGTTTAAAACACGTAAGTATTTTAAATTTTCCTATTACGAATAGTGGTAATTTTTTGGAGCCATCAGCATTCACCATTAACAAAACAGTTACCCTCTGTTTGTTGACCATGGCACTTTTTCATCAACATTGAAAATGTTTTTTCTTTCGTAGTCCTGGATAATTGAGGCAAGTTCGTGTTACCATTCGGTAATGGTATCCTCAACAACACTTCGACTTTTCCCTCACACCTGATTATAAACAATATTATGGCGGGTCTTGAAGCGATCGATCCATCTATTTGATGCTGTGAATTCTGCAATCCCTAACTTTGCTTCAAACTGGAGGGCTTTCGCTCGCAAAAGGTTGACATCAAGCGGAATACCCGATGCCCTCGTGGCAGTAAACCACTCCGACACAAGTTTGTCCACCTCATCGTAAGATGATCTTACGTATTTTCTTCTTGTTGACATAGCACCAAACTGTTTTGTGTTAAATTCAATTTTGTTTGTTTTTAATTGTAGTGCTCAACGTGGAAACCGAGAGTTGAAGCTCCTTGGCTAACTGAACACGTGTTTCCATATGCGCATCAACACGACGCAAAATCTCTATCTTCTCTTTCAATGAAATGCATTTCCTGTCTTTCTTCTCCATATTATAGTTTCCACAATCTTCAACGATCACCTCTCACACAAACACTGCAAGCTGACTACGAGACGAGACTCGACGAGACCATCTCTATGGGCCGGTTTCACCAACCGGAATCAAGGCGGCATTAGGAAATTAACCGGCACAGGTCCGATTTTCACTGTAAACTAAATTATCAAAAATTGCAAAAGTTTGAAATTTCTTCGGCGTCTTCATACAACTACAAAATAAATATGGAGGTTTAAATTTATTTAGTCAAAAAACAGTAAAAACTGTATGTGACGTATGGGGGAGAAGATCATCTGCGCACGTTTTCTTGGGTTCCAGAATCCCTTCCAATCATTTTAACTATAAATATTTGAAATATCAGTAAAAGTTATCGATAAATAAATATATAAAAATAAATTTTAAAAATGCGCCATGTTACCGGGCCACAATTATTCGCGATTTGTTTGACGAACATTCTTGACAATTCGAGCAAATGATTTATCCACCCAGATAGCCCATCATCGAATCGAAGGTTTATGGGAGATAATCGAGAGGTCAATTCGAACAGTAAATCCAGCACCCGCAACACTTTTGCAATGAAAGACGCCTTTAGATGCAGCTTTGCTCAGTATTTCTGCAGGGTACTTCCATCGACTTGTTGAGTTCATGTCACGTCGAGTTGCTGCACTTCGCCCGGCAAAAGGAGGTCCTACACGACATTAAGAGGTACCCCCGCCTTTTGCTGGCTCTATCTACCAAACCGTAGAATATACCTCTCTTATGATGTACAATATGTTTGGATAAGTAGTTGGGAGTGAGGTTGACAGCACTGTTTTTAAGGTACCTATTTGTTATTAATTTACCATTGTCACGTTTGATATTAATAGAAAGTTTGGTTGGTTTGTTTCTCTTTCTAAAGTAAATTGAATTGAATTAGCATATGAATTAAAGACAATGAGCAAAGAGTATATATCAGAGACGGCACTCAATGTTAAAAAGGATAGCCTTATTTGCTCAACTTCCTTTGCCGTCACATTGTTCTGTATAATTTTTATTGGGTAAACGGACAGCCAATAGCGAAGAAGCAACCGGTAAATTTGAAATAAACCAACAACGCGCAAACTTTAAAATTTCACTCACATAATTCCACGCCTTAATTTAATAAAAAATTCAGAATAATAATAATTATAAGAATTTTATGGAAGAAAAAAATTCAAATTAGGGCAGTAAAATCTAATATTTATTGAGCAAATTGGTATTACAAAATTTCAATAGAATTAACAATTTTGTATTACACGAGGCAGTAAACACAGTACACCAGCTAAAATACAACTTGGCTGGCTTGTAGACATGCCAAATAAATGTGAATACTATGGAATATTACATTGTTAGAGAGCATTATACATGAACAATACCAACAGTGTTGAAAAGAAACAAAGAAAAACATTACCGCACGTTTGCCCAGGTAAAACAAATAATAACAGAAAAAAATAAAGCTCCACTACAAAAACCAAACTGTACAAGACACAAGAAATAGCTGATATATTCAATGAACACTTTTCACAAATTAGTAATAGGTTAATCTCTCAACCCTCTCTAAACAATAAAACACACCAAACAAACACTAATATTACACAAATTGTAAATTCCATATTTTTATATGAAACCACCCCATCTGAAATTTTTAAAATCATTGGACAAATGGAGATTAAATTCTCAGCAGGCATGGACAACATTCCAGATTTTCTTATTAAACACAGTGCTCCATGTATAGAGCAACCACTCTCTCATATCTGCAATTACCTTCTAAAATCAGGCATATTTCCAGATATATTCAAAAGAGCAAAAATTAAACCCAAGTTTAAAAAGGGCAATAGTTATGATCCAATGAACTACAGACCTATCTCCCTGTTATCAGGATTTTCAAAAATTCTGGAAAGGCTTTTCAATGATACTCAAACAGTTTCTCAATGCAAATAATGTCCTTACAAATGCACAACATGGCTTGAGGACTTACAGATCTACAGACACAGCCATCTTCTTCTTTTTAAATGATATACTTGTTACATTAAATCAGAAGGAAATTCCCATTGCCTTTTCTCAGATTTGTCAAAAGCCTTTGACATTATTTACCATCATATACTTTTAAGAAAACTAGAAATGCTAGGGATTCGAGGCATTGTAGGCCAAAGGATCAAATCATATTTATCAAACCATAGCCAAATAGTTGGCCTCCGGCACACGAAAGAAAACAAAATCTCCTCATACTACTACTGCCCTCAAATGATAAATTGTGGAGTCCCGCAAGGATCCAACCTTGGGCCAATACTATTCCTTATATACATAAATGACATGCTTTAAGGAATAACAAAAAAAAAATGTGTTTGCAGATGACGCAGACATAATCATCAAAGCAAAAACCCCACAATCATTAGAAAAAGAAACTCACAAAACTTTGCTAGCACTAGTAAAATGGTTTCAAGACAACAAACTCATCATAAACACCAGCAAGACTGCCTCTCTAAATTTCATGAAACCCCAATCTAAAGAAAAACTCTCACAGCATTTGCTCACAAACAATAACCCTGTAACGATATCTCATGAAACTACCTTCCTCGGTCTGAAGAAAAAACTGGTCAAAACTTGCCTCCTCTTCACCATTTCACGTTTTAAATATAGAATGTATTAATATTGTTAAATTGTATGTAGTTGCTAACTTAATGGATATGTAGTTTTAATATTATTATTAATATTATTTTTATAAGTAGTAGCATTAAAATGACAATAACATCTTGAAATGTTAAATTATCTGCTACTAAAAATAATTATCTACTGTATAATATCCTAATCTATCTGTAACAAGTATTGCATTATATCTAGGCCATTTACTCCATCTCGATCAGGTTTTGTTCAGTTTCCCTGGTCCCTTGAGCAAATGCTGAAATGGCCCCTTGTTTGCTCCTCAACAGTAATGTAACCTCGCTCTCTCCACCCAAGACATCATATTGACTCATCATACACAATTGTAGTTGTATATGTGGCTCAATAAATATTATTATAAATAGTTATGATACAAGTGCCATTTTATTTTGCGAGTTGGAAAGGTAGCATGACAAGGTCAATATAGCAGGTGCTCCAATCTTACGAGCAAAACAAAATCACTTTCACCATGTGTTTTTAAAGAGTATTACTGCCTTTCATTTTATTTTAATCCAATGATGAGAGTGAAGGATATTGGGAAAAAGATATTTAGGGATATAATCTACGAAAATAATTTCATTGTTTGATGGTATATCTAGAGTGACTAGTTCTTTGACTTGATGAAAACTGTTTTTTATTACATGGCGTTCAGTTAAATTTAATATGGGTTTTAGTAATAAATTCAAAATTTTGCAATGAATAAACAAAGAATGTATAATATTGTTGGCAAGACAAGTTGTACTTAGGAAAAGCATATTAGTTTTGTAAACCATTGGGATTTCACATTAAAATTATATTTTTTTGGTTTGATCACAGTTTACTCAATAATGAAGTAATATATTTTGTAATAATTGCTGGATTTGAGAATTTTTGTATGAAGTTCCAGAATAATGTTTGCAGCTAAGTTAACTAGCTTGTATTATACACGAAAGTTTTCTTGAGCCTCGAAATATCTACCCCCACTCGTTTAGGAACATTAGTTAAATTAAGAATAAATAATAGCGTTGTAGACAAAATCTGGTAACCATAAGTGTTCTCTCCCATGTAATAGAAAATATTTGCATGCAAAAACGAACGAATCAGTTTGATATAAAATTCTTTTTGTGAAAATAACCTAACTCCCTACTTCTCTCGTAACTAGCAAGGCGATGGCTCAAGAAAATGTGATACTATGATGAAGACAAGATAAAACCTTTATTTTTAAACAAATTTGTAATTCAATTGACAGAGAAGACAATTTTGGAAAACTTTTCAATCTTTTAAACACCCAAAGATTGAGAAAATTCATAATTAGTAAGTGAAATTGCAAAATAAGGTTGAGATTAAGAGAGAGATACGTTGAATTGAAATTCTCTTAGTCTAAGCATACTTAAAATTGTAAAAATTAGTGATGGAACTTATCTGGACTATTTCATGGTCATAGAGAAAGTATAGTCTTATACTCCGGGAGTCAGGTATCTTTGATATTTATCGTCTACCTTGGGCAATTTACACTGCGATTTTCGCACCTGTGCCTCTGGCAGGTATAAGCTGTAGTGAGTTTCATCCAATCGAGACCCGTAGTCACGTCGCTGTAGCGTAAATTAAGCTTTCGATTGGATAAAACCATAACAAATGATGTGTGTCATGTGCATGACTCGCATGAATCGTATTATAGTCCCTGACAACTACGGTAGAGCACGCCACTATTAATGTTGCCACGAGTTTGAATGACTGTTAGTTGCGTTCCTTGTTTTGTGGGTGGAAATTTGCGAAATTCAATTAGCTGGCGCGAAGAAATTGGTAGGTTGGCACAAATATAATTAAAATGTGGTATGGTGAATGTACAGGTTTCGCAGTTATTGTGAATGTCGGTGATTTTATTGAGTATGATTTGTTTATAAAATGGTTGACACATTTTCTCGTTTGTTTCTTGTTAAAGTAAAGGTTGCAATAATAAGCAATCTTTTGGTTAAAGAAAGTACATTATCTCGTGAGATTACAGGTCAGCCTTTTAATGAAACGCGTGTTGTTACAAATGTTGAAGATGAAACTGAAATTTTCATTCCTAGGTTTTACTGCAATTTCAGGGACATAAATTATTATAATGAAATACATATACGACTGTCGGCTTAGCTTGATCATTGTAGCACAATTGTTTTGTATTAACCTGGTAGAGCTTTCGCCGAATTTCCGAACGTGAATTCTTGCACTGGGTCTGTAGCCCAGTGACTTTTTTAAATTTTTTATTGGAAACCATGGGAATTGTATGTATTATAAATTAATACATATAATTTATATAGTGTTTGGAGTGCATTTATTACAATAAACATGGAAAAAATTTGTCTAGACTGAATATAATTTCTGTGCTTTTGTTAATGTGTAAATTATTAGTGACGTTTAATATTTTCGCAAAGCAAAAATTATCTAACATTGTAACTTTGTAATTAAATATATATAATAGAAATGTGCACTTAGCAAATAAATATGAGTGAAAATACTTCGTATTTGTAGTAACAAAATTGATTACTTTTTTTTTTTTTTGCAAATTCTTGACACTGGCATTGTTATTCTATTTCTGGAACCAGTACAACACAGTGGTCAGCCCATCTCTTGAGAAGTTCAAGACTAAGATTCTTGAAAAATAGTGGCATATAAATTTTCAAGTTATTGTTATAATTAAAAATTAAGAAAGAATACAAGCCATTTACATTTTTTGAGGTAGTTTATGTCTCGAATTTCTAATGCAACTATCAATAGCGTACATTTCAACTACGTTGACTTTCATCCTCTGCACTACTGTTTTTTTAGTGTACATTATCACTCCATCTGCACTTTCCTATAAATCCTCTTCACATTGTCTTTACCTATTTAAAGATTATTCTACATATTAAATTACAACCCCAAAAAAGATGACATTCCATTTACATTTTGCTCACCATTCCTCTTTGTGACAAATATTCAATTCCACTAAAATATATTGAAATATATATATTCTTTAAAACTTGACTAAGAATGTGATTAAGTTATTACAACAATGAATACTGTTAAACATTGAATTTATAGTAAATCTTACATGGAACTCTCTCTACATTTTGTTCCATCAATGCTCACAGCAAATTTACAGGACCCAGCACAACTCAAAATGTTAATTCCTCAAAATCCATTAGGAAAATATCAGTTATAACACAATATAACTAGAGATAATAAAAGGGAGTGTATTGAACAACATTTTTATCACCCAGCCTTCTACCAATAATACAATGAATTTATTGATCTGTATCTCGTAGATCTAGGAAGAGTTCTGTCAAGTTGAAGTTTTCTGAAGCTTGTGGAAGTAATATATTTGGCCTAGTTATTTCTCTCTAACATCTCATCAGTCTTTCATGCTCATTATAATTGATGTGATGGAGCCCAGTATGTTTCTCATTCTGACTGACCAGAATAGTTCTGAAAACAAAAGCATAAATTAAGTAAATCTCATGACATGTAATCTGTTTTCTTATGTTCTAGAAAACAAATATGGGATCTAAAACTCCCGTGACTTTTCTTCAGGAACTCATGACTCAAATGGGAACTACACCCAGATATGATTTATTGTATGATGGTACTGGATCACAAAATCCTGTATTTACATACAGAGTGTATGCAAAAAATGTTTCAGGTAAGTGTAAATATTTGTTTAAGTGTTGTTTTGCTTGTACTACCAATATATTACTTTCTTTAATATATCAATAAAAATATTTTTTGACAAAATGTGCATAATACAACTTGCTAAGATATGAAACAATTCATTCTGTGCAAATGTCATATCAACCTGTTTATAGGATGATTACACGTCAACAAATTTTAAAATTTAGTTTGAAACATACATAAATCCTATCTTGACATGTGCAATGCAAATGCACAAAAAAATATAATAGATATGTCATTTTGGCTCTAGTGTCAATATAACATACAATAATTAGGTTCACAACAAAAGAATATATCTGATATGTACTATATTAGTGTATCATCACTACCTTGAATAAACATGCTTTAATTTTGGTTTCCTCTTGTAATTTTATTTTAGTTAAAGAGCATTCCTGATGACCAAACAAAATGGTCAACAAGCATATGTTTACTTTACATTCATTCATAATGTTTTTTACGAGTGAAAAGTAAAGTTTTTTAATGAGTTTTTTGTTGATGAAAGTGTTCAACAAATTTATTACCTATAACTCCACCATTTTTACAAAAGTTAAGATGGGAATCTACAATGTGTGATTTGAGACCCTTATTCACAAATGAAACAACAGCATTGCAGAAGTTCAATATTAATATATCAATCACTTTTAATTTTCCATGTGTTTGTCACATACATTACTTCCTTCACCGAAAAAGAATGGTTTCAGCTTAAAATATGATCCTTTCCAGAGGGCTGCAGTACAAATGAGAATGAAAGGTAACCGGTTGCCATTGTGAAGTAAAACAGCTTTAGAACTTTATTTAAAACAATGAAATGAAAAATCTCTGTACATTGTTCCAAATTCTTCATTTCTAGCAAGCCATGTACCCAGTTGAACAAACTGGGTACCCAGTTTTCAAATTAGTAAGCAATTTTGTGAATGATTCTTTGGCCATGTCATATCATAAGGATTGAAAAAGAATGGAAAGGTTTTATTGCTGTTTTATTAAATATACAATACATTTAACAATAAAAAAAAAGGTGAATACTATTTGCAATACTGAATTAAAAGTCCAACATGTAACACTATGTATATATATTTTTCACAATTGGCTCTGGAAATCCTGACCTTGAACTGTTGCCATAATTTTTAGGCAACTTGCTTTTTTAGGCTCTTTCGTATTCTACAATTGAAGACTGCCTAGCTATTTCCTGCAAAACTGTATCACAGAAAACCTCTGTTGCTTTTGAGGTACATTCAATCATGAATCAATCTTCTGAAGAATAGTAAGGGAACAAGGGATTGAATTGTTCCAATTGTATCAACAAGTTTGTTCAACAGTAACTAAGGATTATCTTCAAGATGCTATTGTCTTAAAAAAAGGAAGTAGCCTTGCTACTTCCAGCTTTTTAAAATTTTGGAACAAAGTTTTCAGATATTGTAGATTAAATATAAAATAATCAATCTAATTCAACTATCCTCTCCAGTTAACTAATGTCAAGAAGTGTTTCATATGTAATGTCTGGAATTAAATGTATTGAAGAAAGAAATCATAGAAAGAGAAAAATAAAAGGTTGAAGGGAAATCAATACGAATAGCAATGAGAACTAAGAAACACTATAGAAATTCCTGGGCAAATGATGGTTTTGAAATAAAGATTTTTTGTGTAAGAGAAAATTATTGTTCCACAATACTGGATTGTTGTCAGTAAAGGTAATTACATGTTAAAAACTAATATGATCTCCCCCTTAAGAAAGTGACATCATTTACATCTATTATAAATAGCAGTTGTCTAAATTACTGTAGAGATATATAAGAAATTCTGTAATAAAATTGCGTACTTAAACAATAGTGCTTTATCAGTCAACTACCCCATCATTCTTCAAGAAGGTGATGAATTTAATTGGTGACTGGCAATGAATAGCTGCAGTAAAAATCTGTAAGGAAAATGCGTTGCTTATTTTTCATTATATGTCAAATTTATTAAGAGACCAAAATTGAAAAATGTTGAAGAATTTATTCCTTATCACAAATAATTACGAATACTGAAACCAAAAAAAAGTTATTGATGAACTTATTTAGGAGTTTGGTAAATTAAAAGGAAGTCATGTTTGTTATAAAAAATGTTGTTTGTGATGGATGTAAAAATCTACTCAATAATACTGCTTGATTGTTGTGAAAAAATACTTAAATATATTGCTATAATTTAAAAAGATGAAAACATCATCGTGTGTGTATTACTTAAATTCTCTTGAGAAACCAAGGAAAGCAAAAGTATTGATTTTCGTTAGCTCTATGTCAGGCGCATATCCACGGGGAGGAAAATGAGGAAAGTTTCCTCTCCCAAAATTTTTCAGTAACGATTAATTTTAACTTGTCACAAAACTTTCAAGCAAATATATTATTGTATAAATACTAAAACAAATAAAATTGTATCTCAACATGAGCTGTGTTTAGCCTGCATCATTCTACATAATCTGTAATATGACACATCCAAACAAAACATTTTGAATAAAAAAATGTCCCCGCCCAAAATTCGTCTCTGGATCCACCTCTGTCTGTGTTAACATATTTCTCAGAATGTGTACTAGCATCTATTCTTTGGATGAAGAAGATGTTCTTTAAAAAGACATTTCTAGATTGATATAATAAAATTTGTTAATTGAATAGTATAATTGAATTAATGTGTAATTTAATAGTAATTTTAATAAAATTTGTGAATCTAATTTTTTTTTCAGCAACTGGGTCTGGACGAACTAAAAAGGAAGCAAAACATGAAGCAGCACTCGCAGCACTTAAATGTTTTTCGCTACATAAAATTCAGGATTCACATCCATCGGAAGAACCTGCTGAAACGTTAGTTCTGATAATTGGGGGTTAAAAGTTTTTTTTATAGTCCAGCATTCTAAACATTTTTTGGTAGAAGAAAATGTTCATAAAATGACATCATGGTACAGATTATGACGTATTTGTCATTTATGACATGAATAATTGCTTCATCACACATTTAGCCAGCAGCAATAGAATCATGTGGAGGTAGCGGTAAACCAAACAGCCACCCATCATTTTTTTAAAAGATGTCAAATACCTGTGACATCATGAAGTTGTTTCCAAAAATCAACATTGCGTTATTGCTATCTTACAAATTTGCAAACTCACTCATATCATCGCTCATTTTCAAAATATGTACTCGTTCTTTACTCCATCCCAGGATAATAATTATAATCCCAGTGTAATAAAAAAAATTGGAGCCCTTTTTAAGAAAATTTTGAAAACATTTGCCATGGCCCTCCCCTAAAAGACCTAGTTTTCGATTGTTACTTCTATTTGGCAAAATTAATTTAAATATTTATTTTTGAATTATGTATTTTTTTAAAAATATTGTACACTACAAAAATAATATACAACATAATCACAATTATGTTTAATATTTAACAAAAATTTATGATGCCCTTGCCTCCCAAATGACAGGCTGGGTCTGCCCCATCCTCATTTAAGTAGGTGGATTGCTAGGTCTTTTTGACAGAAAATCTATGTATAAACAACTAGCAAGATGTTAACATTTTCTGATTAATTTATAAATAAATAATGTATAAATTAATATATATATATATATATATATATATATATATATATATATATATATTATATATATATATATATATATATATATATATATATATATATTATAACATTATAATATTATAAATAAATTAAATATTTTAATTTTCATAGTTAATGGTCTATATTAAGTAGGTGACTTTCACATGAATAGTAAACATGGAGGAAGAATGTGATTGGGGAACATCACAAAACATGTGCTACAATTGCCACGAAATGTGACATCCCAATTCCTGGGAAAAAAATGGTAGAGGAAAAAGAAGCCCAAATGGAAAAGATACGTTCATTTGTGAGCTTATTTAATAAAAAAAAGGAAATAGGTGAGTAGTCGACACTATTTGATCTTCACATATCAACATAGTGGCGGATGATGGGTTCAAAACTTGGGGAGGTCCAGACAAATTCAGGAACGGAATCAAATTGTGAAATTGAAAGACAATGGCTTTTGGTTTACTGGTAAACTGTTATTGGCGACAGTAAAAATAAAAGAATTAGATTGAATATTTATCCTCTTTTAGTCTCTCTTCTCTACACAAACCAATAATGATTTGATTGTATTTACTGAAATACTGGGTCTTCCGCCCAATGGATGTGACTTTTGCCATCAGTCGTGAAAGAAGGAACGCGCTCGAAATCTGACACCGGTTGATAGACGATAGGAAACACTATTTCTAATACTCCATAGCACCAAATTTGAATAGAATGTGGGTTTCGCATGGTATTCTACCGAAATGTATTTCACATGGTATTCTGGGGAAATGTATAGAATGTTTCTAACACCAGATGTACGGATGTCACTCACTTCCAAAACAGGATGTCCCCTGAAAGAGGACCTATCTTCCCACGGATAACTGACATCGACATCTCAGGGTTTTGCCAGTCTGTGAAGGTCATGGAGAACAAAGTTATTTTTTTCCTACATTTGTATTAATAAACAAGACGGGACTTCGTCAGGGGGTCTCAACCTTTTTTCAAATCTCACGCACCATCTACAAGCCTGGAGAAAATTAGCACACCACTTGAACAAAAATATACTTCACATTTTAAATAGATGACTTAATATTAGAAATTAAAGACTTTTTTTTATAAAAAAGATGTATTAAATTATTTGTAAAAACAAAGACCTGTAAATGAGAATTTAAACTGAAATATCAATAGCACAAGAAACACTAACGAGACTTGAATTATTGTTTTGCGCTAATGACATCGATATTAAGATCAATATTGCTAATTTTCAGTCTCAAGTCATTTTACACGTTTAATTTATTCACCTTTTAGAATGTAAAATGAAGGGAAAATGCCCATTCACAAAGTTGAGATGACATAGATGGTGTCAGATACTGAAAGACTTTGTGCAGACAATGCATAATATTCTCTTTGAAAATCCTGCTAAAAATTCCCCACATCTTTGTGTTTGAAAGCACATTTTAAGACAGATTTACTGTTTGAATGACTTCAGCATTAATATTGTTAACTGTGAAATTTCTAATTTAATTTTATATATGTTTATAAGTATTTCACTGTTAATAATAAGTGAAATTCAAAAAAATATATACTATATTTTTTCCACATCGCCAGCTGAGAAACGCTTAGAAGTATTCAAGATCACTGAACAACTTGAGATGTTTGTTCTGAGCACACTTAATACCTGTGACAGTTACAGTCTAACTCATGAACCATGATTCATAGAGGAATGTGGTTGGTTTCCTATCAAAATTTAGACTTCCCGTGACACTTCATCCGCTGGATGCTTATGTTTTACTTCAATAACAAGAAAATGTTTCTCGCTCCGTGAAAATTTTAGAACATCTAAATGTACAAGAAAAAACTTCGCTATCATTTATAATTAATTTCTTACTAATTAAACAAACTCAATTACAAAATAAACATCACATTTATAAGGGTTCTGGGAATAACTGGTAAGAAGCGCAATTGTCTAAGATCAATACTATTGAAGCTATCGTTGACTAAACATATTAAATATTTGCTCGTGTAACAGAATGAACGAGCCGAATAACCCCGATCCTCGTGAATGGGCAACGCAGCTTGCGGTAGAACGAGAGAATCTGGTGTAAAATTGTATTGGGTACAAAGAGAGGGCAATACTCCAAAAGACTCCGTACAGCAATCAAATGTTTGGATGCACAATATATTGTGCCGGAATAGGTATTCTGTTTGCCAAGTTTGTACTTGACATTATGTGGTCTGTTGTTTCTGGTGCTTGATGGCAAACTGCATTGATCTCAGACTTCTGTTTTCTCAATTTAATTTTTATAATTGTTTGTAGCAATTACATTATTATTATTATTATTATTATTATTATTATTATTATTATTATTATTATTATTATTATTACTATTATTATTATTGTTGTTATTATTGTTATTATTATTATTGTTATTATTATTATTGTTATTGTTATTATTGAGTAAATCACGTGACGTGTAATGTATGTTTTCTCGTTCCAGAAAACAATGTGGGAATCAAAACACCTGTGACTATACTTCAGGAACTGATGATTAAAATGGGTACTGTACCCAAATATGATTTAGAATATGATGGTACTGGATCACACATCCCCGTATTTACATACAGAGTGCATGCAAACAATGTTTCAGGTGAGTATAAATAATTGTCCAAGTTTTGCTTTTCTTGTACCACCAAAACGTTACTTTATTTAATATTTATAAATCTTGTCAAGTCTGCATAATGCAACACGCTAAGTAATTCAGTTTGGGCAAATGTTATGTCAACCCAACCCAACCAAAGAACGATAACAAGACAATTTTAATATTTGGTTTGCAAAGTACATTGATCACAAAAATGTCATTTGACTCTGGTCTCAACAGAGCCAATGGTTGAATCGCTTGTTGCAGATGTCCCTCATGATCGCTCTCTATGATTTACAAGAGAAGGGAAAAAAACTGAATTACTTTGCAGCAGTTTCAAATGGAAATCCACCTTAACCTGTAATGGCTCACATTAATATTCGGACAGCCACAAATACTGCAGGCGTTTCTTGTTTGATTGTTAATTTTTCGCACGTGCGCGGATATTACATATGAGGAAATACAAATGAACTGTGTCTTTCTTATTAAGAACCAGAATAATACAAAGACAATGTTTCTGGTGCACAATATAAGTTTCAAAACACGGATTTATGTGTGAATATGCAAGAATTCGAAGTCTCATTAATATTCGGACGAGTAGTGGAAAATGTCCTGTTTCCCCCTCGCCACTCTCCTAGATAGCGCAATAGGCGCACCATCCCTTACCCAGGACAAAGGAAACTATGCAGTCGGTCGCTGTAATTTTTTTCGCCTGTAAGCACCTCTTGCAATGGGGCACAAGGGAAAGAACTCGACGTTCGAGCAGAGGCAGCTTGTGGTTTTCCGCTACGCGAAGGGACGGCCCTGTAGGGAGACCGCAAATCTTTTACTCATGAGCAAGAGCACGGTGCACGATATTATTAAGAGATTTGAGAAAGAAGACCGAATTGAATCTAAAACGCAACAAGAACAACGTAAGATCTGAGAAAGAGAGCAGCGTGCAATTTTGAGGGAAGCAGAAGAAAATCCGAAGGTGAGTGCCGTCCAGCTGGCAGCGGAACTGCACGAAGTGTCAGGGACATCTGTGCTCCCCGAAACAGTGCGCCGAGTAATTAGGAATGTCGTATATCACGGCAGAGCGGCCGCTAAGAAACCCTTTATTGGTGCTGGAAATATAACTAAACGACTTCAATTAGCAAATGAATATGTGACGAAATCAGAAGAGTGGTGGCGTGAGGTAAATTTTGTAGATGAGAAAAAATTCAATATTTTTGGCAGTAACGGTAGGAAAATGATATGGTGCAAACAAAATACAGAATTGCATCCTAAAAACGTAGTGTCAATTGTGAAATACGGAGATGGACACATAATGGTGTGGGGTTGCATATCAGCAGCTGGCGTGAGGGAGATGGTAGTTATTAAAGACACAATGAACAAGCATCAGTATCTTAACATACTGAAAGAGAATTTACACAAATCTGCTGACACACTGGGCATCAGGAGTTCGTTTAAATTTTACCAAGATAACGACCCAAAACACAACTCATATTTAGTAAGGGAATGGTTGTTGTACAATTACCCAATAGTGCTGGAAACGCCGTCTTATTCTCCTGACCTCAATCCAGTCGGGAATTTGTGGCGTGAATTGGAATGCACAGTAAGGAGAATCCCAATTAGGTCAAAGTCTCATCTGCCATCGAAATCAAGGAAAAATGGGCACAAATTGAACAACAGTCCCTGAAGAGGATAATTGGTTCAATGCCAAAGCGATTGCAGCAAGTCATTGACAAATATGGTTATACTACAAAGTATTAATTTTATTTTCGTTTATTTATTCATTTATATAATTTTATCACTTCACGTGTTCGAATATTACTATGGCTAATGAATCCAGAAATTTTGTTTTTGTTTTCTTTTTTATTGAATGCATCAACTACATTTGGCATTTTTGTTTTGTTTATCTGTTATCCGTTAATAAAGGATTACTTCTATTTCACTTTCTTGCTTATATCTCTATCCTACAACCGTCAAAATATCGCAGAACTGACGATTTCTGGAGTATATCTGGGTGTCCGAATATTAAAATGAGCTACTGTATGTAATCTCGGTTATACTGGATGGAACTAGACGGGAAACATTTGTTTTGCGAATCTTCATACTTCTAGTAGATTTTTAGTCCCGAGGCATACAATATTAAATACGTTGTACGTGAGGGTTCTGTACTTCAAACGAACATAAATTTTGTAATAGAATACAATCAATTTCAAAACCTGATACCGGCAGAGCATCAACTGCTTAGAGCATCAACTGATGACACTGCAGTGCCTCTGAATGGGAGGTCCTAGTTTCGAGTCCTAAAGGTGGCAGGATTATCGATACTAGCTGGTCAGTTAGGTCAAATACAGTCACAGTCCGGGGGAGAGTTATAGCGGCCGGCTGCTCTGATCGGTAGGTTTCCGTGGTTTTGGGCGAATGCCGGAGCAGTACATATCAATCGGGCCACGGACCGCGCGCGGTCTTTCCTTCCTCTTCCTTGTATCCCTGCCTCTTAATAACACACACACTTCATGCACTACACTACCTCATTCGCTGGGAGATCGGTCAGGTGCTTAGAACGTGTCCTGGCAGGGGCGGTGCTCCACTGGTGGGAGGTACCTGGTTATGGAAAATAGCGCTAGCCGATCTCGTCATTCAGCGGGGAAGATCACAGCCACCTTCCGAGGGAAAACACGCGCTACACGTACGGGATTAATGACCTCAGCCGTTGACGCGCCCGGAATTACAGCCATCAAAACCTATTGCTGAAATACCCATTTCTTTTAACTATAAATTATATTATTTTTATTGATCCACATAACTGGGGCTGCAAAACGAGTGTGCGCAAAAGGATTGAATTTCTCGATCGTAGCTCGAATTTATTTCAAATCGCCCATCTTCTTGTAACTAATTATTGCTACTTCAGATGAGAAAAGTATTCAATGGAAAGCCTGGAATCTGGTTTCTTTCCGCCAGTCTGATGGTATGTTCTTGAAAAGTATGTTCTAGTGTTATTTCCATCTGCATTGAGATTGCAACTAGTTTATGGGTTCGTCATAGTACATCATTCGCAGTTAATAAATAATTGACCTGAACCCTAAGACTTCCCGGTCAGTTGATGCCCTGAGACACCTAAACCGGTATATTTTTTCCTGAATCTGTTGTAGCAACTATTATTTGGATGAAGTGGTACAATGTGTTCGTTAAAAGATTTTTTTCGTTATTTAAGGTCGCATCAACTTTTAGGTCATTAGCAACAACTATTGATTGTAACTGTATGGTAAATGTGAGGATGACACGATATGATGATGATAGGGGGTGAAAGGACGAACACAATACAACCATGCCCGAGGCGGGACTCGACAGCACCACTGCCTTAACGATCTCGGCAACCGGATAGGCATTAAAACATTTGTAAACCTAATAGTAGTGGAATAAAATTGTGATAAATTGTTTCTATTTCAGCGACTGGGTCTGGACGTACTAAAAAAGAAGCAAAACATGTAGCTGCGCTCGCAGCCCTTGAATGCATGTCGCTAAATCAAACTGAGGATTCACAGCCACTACAAAAGCCAGCTGAAAGGTACGTGTTGTGTACTGCGTGTTAAATGGAGTTATTGTTTTTCTTCATGAAAAAACTGTGATTGTTAAAACTCCTTTTAACCCTCCCCAAAGCTTTTATTACTTTTTACTTTCTCGCCATACAAATCCTTCGTAAGAAGAGAAAGTTATGTAATGGTGCGCCAGAAAAGGCCGAAATTTCGCCAGAAAAAAACTTATTGCCGGATTCTGGTACCAAAAAAGTAGATTAATCCTGTTGTTAATTTAGAACAAAAATCCTCTAACTCGTAGTGTAGCCAGAATCCATTTTGCTTATTCTTCATTTCGAAAAATCGTTTGACGGCAAAACGTCCGTCTGTGGTCAACGCTAGCGCCTAAACCGTTCAGACGATTTTCTTGAAAATTGATATTCCTCAATCGATCTGAATGAAAACGTGGCTTTGGGAGTTTCAAACGGATAATTTGATTTTTGAGGATACTTCACATGGAGCCTCGAACAAATGTTCAAAATGTTCTCAACAACGGCTACAAATTATTTGATTTAATTTTGTTGTTGAATAGTGCGAAGGATGTTTAAGAGAATTGTTTAGATCTCATTTTTGCTTAAGAGAATTGTTTAGATCCCAATTTTTTGAAAATTGCGAAAACTTTTAAAACTACCAAATTGATGATAAAGGTGTTTGGCTCAGACAAAGGCAGTTGTACAAAATTAGGACTTTAAGAAATATCATGTACATTTTTTCGTAAAAGTTAGTAGATTTTGCGTAATTTAGCTTGAAATTTATAATTTTTTTCCTCTCAAAAACCGCTTCAAATTTTGTCTTTCAATTTTCTCCATACATGTAAAAGGTACGATAAGGAAAATTCTGCTAGTCCCATTTTAGGGTATTGTAATTTTTTTTCGAAAATAACAAAAAACATTTTAAAAGTACGAAATTGACGCGCGCACACGCACGCAGCAAACACGAAACTCAAGCACGTTTTGTGAAAACTATTAGAAGCAATTTCAATCACAAATAGAATTAATTAATATAAATACACTGGAAGTGTCTGTGTGTGATTTTCGAACTTTCAACTTCTAAACAATTTTCTACATCTCTTATTGGAAACATCTCGATTGTTGTCTATCGGTGCTTATGGCAGCCAATTCTCTCTATAATCCGGATGGCTGAAGTGGTTACTTGCCTCGTCCGTCTGTCCGCCTGACCGTTCGTCTGTCCGTCCGTCCGTCCGTCCGTCTGTCCGTCCGTCTGTCCGTCCGTCCGTGAACATTTCGAACGAATAGTGCTAATTCCATTATTTAATATCATGTGAAGTTCATTTCTGTGTATTTTGATGTTTGTTTTTAAAAAATTACATAAATGTACATTTTTTGAAATATCTCTATGCACATTTGCAGAAATTTGTAAACACTATTGTTCTTGTAACTTAAAATACTTAAAATTATTTCAAATCAAGTTTTTTAAAACCGGCTCCAAAGTTTTCAAAGAGAACTGCCATTTAGGACGAGGTTTTACTGTTCTTTAATAATCTTCAAATAATATTTCCGCTCTTCAATTAGGAACCCAAAAAAATGTCAAAAAATGTACGTTGGGCGGCGATAGATGGCAGCTGGCATGAGCATGTGGCAAAGCCGAGACCAAATGAAATAGAAAACAAATACGTGAAAGTCCATGCCATTGTGTTGCAACTCTAGTTACTTTGAGCAGTTGCGTTGTTACTGACATATTCACTTGTTTAGAAGTATACAATGTAAAAATTCAGTTGTGCATTAAAATTACAGCACAAATATTTTGGTAGTTTTTGAACCGAACCAAAGTGTAAGAACTTGGCCCGAAAAAAATTTCAAGTTTTGAATTTTCTTGTGCATTTGTTTGCTTACCCTTTAGAAAATTTTTACTATTCCCCGTTCACAAATTAGAGCAAAACATTCGCAAATTAGAGCACAAATTAGAGCAATTTTTCGGGACCAATTCACGTTTTTACGAAATTACAAGATTTTGCCTTATATTAAAAATATAAAAATTTGAAGTGCTCTTTCGTTTGTGCATCGTTTGACCGCCTTTAATCACCAACTAGATTATTTTTACCACGTTTCCTCTAGCAGCGAAAAACTTATGCAAAGCACAAAAATTGCCTTTTTCAACTTTTTGGGGGTCATGTTCACGCTTGCTGGGTGCAATTAAATTCTTTTTCGCCAATATATGCTGAAGGAAAAATGGGAAAAGTAATGTAGTTGGTGATTACAAGTGGTCAAATGATGGGCAAACGAAAGCGCGCTTGAAATTTGGTGCACTTACATTGAAACGCACTTAAATTGAAAGAGGAGGTTTGTAATAATATGAATATAGACATTCATCAGAAGAACGATGAAATTAGTCAATTGTAGACGTTTTATTCCAAGCTTAGCGTTTAAGAGAAAAAATACTTCACTCCATATTTGAGTTTTGAACGTGAAAAGTGTGTTATTAATGATAGTAATAAACTTTACATACACCAACGGTATAAGTTGTTAAAAAAGTCCGTCGTGATGTTGTTTTTTCACTTATAACATTACAGATAATAAAGGCTACTGGCAGTGGCGTAGCGTGGGTGTCAGCTGCTTGAGGCGGAGGAACATTTCGCCGCCCCTTTATTTAGGTATTTCAGTTTAAAAAGCTAATTAAGTAAATAAAAGGTGTTATCCAGTATCAAAAGTACATTTTAACTTAAGATCTTTTAGATAGCATAGCTTTCATCATCACAGCTATGTTGCAGTGTCCGGGCGGTAAACGAAGTTCTGCCGAAGATCTTAAGTTAAAATATACTTTTGATACTGGACAACATCTTTTATTTACTTAATTACACTGGTTGACAGTGATTTTGTTAAATGGCTAACTGTAGCTGCTTCTTACGTATTTTGCTGCGCTAAAGCCGAATATAATCACAAAAAATGTCCATCGGGCTCATTCTTTTGTGTAATCACGTATATACTAAAACTACATATTTTTCGCTGTCACATGTCATTCATGCTGAAACACTAGTTGCTTGCAGATTTATTCCAAGATGGTTGTTGCCAACAATCTAGGATATTGTACATTCCATTTAAGACATTAAATAGATGCCTGACTGGTCAAATCAGTTGAGCAACTTATATCGTTGGCGTGTGTAATGTATATTATTACTACTATTAATAACACACTTTTCCCGTACAAATTGCAGTGACTCGCATAAACAACTCGGCGTGTTGTGTACGTATGTCACTAGATGTTAGTTGCGCCCCGCGCGTAAAGCGAGAAAGGTGTTGATATATTGTATAGTGCACGAATCATCTATTCGTTGCGGTCTAGTGTTAATTTTTTGTACCAACAGATTCATTGGTGCGCAGATAATCTTGTCCCCCATACGTCGCATACAGTTTTGGCTAAATAAATCTAAATCTAAATGATATTCAAACACTGCTATGTGTGTGGCGAGGTACCTTTGAATAGCGAAAGGCAGTATATTACTCCCTTAATAAGAAAGGCTTATAAATTACTTCTAGGCTGTCCGGGTGACGCCGCGTCGTTGGCAGATAGGCCGACGTTTCGCCTGTCATGTCATGTCATGTCATGTCATGTCATGTCATGCAAGCTTCTTCAGGGTGGTGAGGGTTCGTCACTACCCTGAAGAAGCCGGCGACATGACAGGCGAAACGTCGGCCTATCTGCCAACGACGCGGCGACACTCGGACAGCCTAGAAGTAATGGACTCGAGCCGCGGAAACCTACGTGTACAGGCATATAAATTGTATGTCATGTGTCAAATTGATGATCAGGACAAATCGTTGGCCCCTCATATTTGCTGTGGTCTTATGTAACATTACTTAGTGGTTGGCTTAACGGAAATTCGCGACATATGCCATGTGCAATTCTCAAAATTTCCGAAGCATTTTCCCAGAAGTAGGCAATCTAATGTATTGTACTGATGTTGCAAGATTACCGAGTGATTTGGGAGACCACCATGATCCTAAGAAATGAAGGTTGTTTATAGATTCGTTTAAACATAATTGAAAACTGGGCTGATTCATATCGGAGATGAGAAATCAGCTACTTCTCTTGCCTATGAAATTCCCATGAAACAGACGTATGTTATCATGAAACTTTTGTTATCTAAGATCAATACCAGCAGCATTCGTCGAATGTATTGAGCGATTTTAAAGTTGGCGCACTTTTGTTAGGTCTCCAACAAGGATATTCTAAATTTTTATGTTTTCTATGTGAGTGCGATAGCAGACGTCGCAAAAATCATTTTGGGAAGAAGCAGTAGACTCAGCATTTGATTCCTGAAAAAATGTAACTTCGCAACCCTTTGTAATGTTGCGCGCGCGCGCGCGCTCACACACACACACACACACACACACACACACACACACACACACACTGTGTGGTTGCCGTTTTTTTTGTAGAATAGCGCCACGGGACCTCCGCTTGTCGTAAAAGGCGACTAAAAGGAGCAGCTGTCCGCTGCCCTTTCCCCAAATATCCCTACTTTCCCACCTAGTTTTCCTCCCATCCCACAAGATCCAATAGGTGGACTGAGTAGCTTATGGGATCTTGCTCCCTATCGCTGAAATCTACGGGAGTGGCAGAGAAGAAGATATCAGAGTCGGTGCAGGGAAGGAACATTCAACATGCTGAAGTTCCTCAGGTACTGCACAAACCATCTGATGAGACACCATACCAAAATCATGAGATGGATTGGCATGTTGTAGGGAGGAAGAGACAGAGGCCGCCGAAGCCGCACTCTTATCGCCTCGAATTCGTTATTGTTAAGGCAAATGACGGAGGCCATTCCTATGCTGACATTCTAAGGCAGATCAAGGACGACCCATCTCTGAAAGATCCTGGTGAGAACGTCGCAAAGGTGAGGAGGAATGCAGCCGGATACCTGCTGCTGGAGTTGCGGAAATCTGCAGCAGCCTCCGAGATATCTGAAGCTATATCCAGAAAACTGGGCGTTAGCAAGCGTAACGACGCGGAGAGACGAAATGACTCTCGAGAT